CACCTGAGAAAACGCAAATGATGATCGTCTCTAGGCACCATGATGGTAATCCTGGTGCAGTAGTAAGGATGAATGGGAGGGTGCTGGCACCTGGAGAAGAAGTTGATATCCTTGGGGTGAAATTTGACTCCAAACTAACCATGAAGAACCATGTTGTAAATCTTGTAAACAAGGCAGCCAGGAAGCTTACAGCACTTCGCCGTATCTCGCATCTGCTTGACAGTAGGGGATGCAAGATTCTGTACGAGGCACAAGTACGCTCACACATTGAGTATGCTCCATTTTCTTGGTTTGCCTGCCCCCCCTCTCATCTGCGACTGCTTGACAGAGTAGAGAACAGAGCAAGACGTCTCATCTCTCGCCTGGACCCATCCTGGATAGATCTGTCATTTCAGCAGAGCCTTCAACATAGGAGGGACGTGGGTGGCCTTACTGTTATGTACAAGGCCAATATTGTCAAAGTACCACACTTGGATCCACTTCGAGGACAGCGTGAAACAAGCTTTTATGCCACAAGACGGGCAGAAAGCAGCAACTTCACTCTGGCTGTACCCATCTCCAGAACATCACTCCATCTGAGATCCTATATACCCAGGATGACTCGAGTATGGAACACATTCGTACAGCATTATGATGTCAACGAGATAAAGTCAGTTGATCAAATGAAAAGGCTGGCCCACAGATGGCTCCAACTTCATCCTGTTCCCTACTTGTATGTCTCATAACAATAAAAATGCTTTCAAATGAGCTGATGTAGGTAACAGCTCTTAGCTTGCCAATAAAGTTAGGAATCCTTACCCTGCAAATAGCTTGTCAATAAAGCTAGGGATCCTTAACCTTGTCAAACCCTGTGTAAAAAAAAAAAAAAGAGAGAGAGAGAGAGAGAGAGAGAGAGAGAGAGAGAGAGAGAGAGAGAGAGAGAGAGACAGAGAGAGAGAGACAGAGAGAGAGAGAACAGAGAGAGAGAGACAGAGAGAGAGAGACAGAGAGAGAGAGAAGAGAGAGAGACAGAGAGAGAGACAGAGAAGAGAGAGGACAGAGAGAGAGAGACAGAGAGAGAGAGACAGAGAGAGAGAGAGAGAGAGAGAGAGAGAGAGAGACAGAGAGAGAGAGACAGAGAGAGAGAGACAGAGAGAGAGAGACAGAGAGAGAGAGACAGAGAGAGAGAGACAGAGAGACAGAGAGAGACAGAGAGAGAGACAGAAAGAGAAGACAGAAAGAGAGAGAGACAGAAAGAGAGACAGAGAGAGAGAGAGAGAGAGAGAGAGAGAGAGAGAGAGAGAGAGAGAGAGAGAGAGAGAGAGAGAGAGAGACAGAGAGACAGAGAGACAGAGAGACAGAGAGACAGAAAGAGAGACAGAAAGAGAGAGACAGAGAGAGAGAGACAGAGAGAGAGAGACAGAGAGAGACAGAGAGAGAGACAGAGAGAGAGACAGAGAGAGAGAGACAGAGAGAGAGAGACAGAGAGAGAGAGACAGAGAGAGAGAGACAGAGAGAGAGAGACAGAGAGAGAGAGACAGAGAGAGACAGAGACAGAGAGAGAGACAGAGAGCCACATTCAGTCAGCCAATCACCCACCTGGCCTCCCTCCCACCCACCCAGCCACCTGGCCAGCCAGCCAGCTATGTTTTACACATGTTCCAGAGTTATTTCTCTTTACTTAGGGTATAGGTTATAGTACATTCTGGCAGGATGACACTACCAGTGGTATTCTCCCATTCCACTGTGTCGACAATACATAAAGATAAAAGTAACATATGATACTGTATGCGACGTAAAATTTACAATACATATCACTACCATGTATACATTATATACAGTAAATAAATAATTAAAATATAACAACAGAAGTAAATTATGGTAAAAAAATGAAATAATGATTGTACATTACATTACAGTACTATGTAGGTAGTTTATATAGGAAAAGTTTGACATTATGCCCTACCCAGTATGTCGGCAATTTTCAAAGGTTCGACTTACGTCCATTTTGACTTACGAACGGTTGGTCAGAACCAAGCTTGGTCGTAAGTCGGATGGTAGGTATATATTATGGAACAATAGTAATAAACTTTGTTTTATATTGTTTGTTTGTGTAAACAAATTTTATACACAAACTATTAGTGATAAAGTTTGTTCAGTTATTGTGTTGTAAACAATGAGTGTATATTTGAACAATGCACCTTACATTGGTCTCACAGGCCACATATGTTACTTGGAAAAGAAAAATATTGGAAAATACAAGAAACCTTTGAATTAGAGTAAATAAAAGAATACCGGGTGGGCGGCAGTCGCCGCTGTTGCCATACGCACCTCACTTTCTGCCAACTTTGTGGCTCTATATCTCGGTAAGTACTGATGGCAAAATTTTTTTTTTAGGCTTAAAACACTCAGTAAAATAATCCTAACATTTTCATAAGAAAAAATAATTTTTTTTTTTTTTTAATATTTTGCGACAAAGAATGACAGCTTCAGAAAGGGGCCTGCGACAGTCAAAGGGTTAAAAACAGAGTCCAGAATAAACACTGTAGATATTCCAGGCACTAAAGCAACATTTCCTTGGTTCATTAATCACATCCTCATGCCTCTCCTGTATTACATTTGCCTTTATTTTGAATAAAAAAAAAGTGAAGATTTACCCTATTTCTTGAATAATAAAATATAACCAGCAATGATTGGTTATAGTACAGGGCATCCCAATAATTGTATCAGACTTAATAAAAGCACACAAAACAGACCAGGGGGTGTGGGAGGCCTTACCCATCCTCAGGACAATTGTCAAAAATTAAATATTTCTGCTAATTTGAGTCTAATTTCAAGCTACTTCCAGGAATAGACCAAACTAAAATCATCTCTATTTTAGTAGTATATTTTCCATTTTATCCAATGTTGCCTTTTTTGACAATTTTCCTGAGGTCGGATAAAGCTCCCTACACCTCCTGGTCTGTCTTGTGTGTTTTTACTACATTTGGTAAACCCATAAAAACCAACCTAGAAACCACCTAATATTTATTATTCTAACCCTTTCACTGTCCTGATCTCCAATATGAAACTTGCCCACAATGTCCAAGCATAGTAGAGAATCTTTTTCTGAAGGTAATAATACACAAAACTGATGGAAAATTGACAATTATGCTTACATGTAATTATCATTCCTGGTTATATTTATCATCATTCCTGGTTATATTTTATCATCATTCCTGGTTATATTGTACCATTATTCCTGGTTATACTTTATCATCATACCTGATTATATTTTATCATTCCTGGTTCTTCTTCTTTCAACAAACCGGCCCAAAAGGAAAAACAAAACCTCCTTTTAAATTTAGTAATGTATACAGGAGAAGGGGTTACTAGCCCTTTGCTCTCAGTATTTTAGTCGCCTCTTACAACACTCATGGTCCACAGAGGAAGAATTCTGTTCCACTTCCCCATGGAGAAAAGAGGAAATAAACAAGAACAAGAACTAGTAAGGAAATAGAAGAAAACCCAGAGGGGTGTGTATATATGCTTGTACATGCATGTGTAGTGTGACCTAAGTGTAAGTAGAAGTAGCAAGATGTACCTGAAATCTTGCATGTTTTTGAGACAGAAAAAAGACACCAGCAATCCTACCATGTGTAAAACAATTACAGGCTTTTGTTTTACACTCACTTGGCAGGAGAGGACTGCCTCCCTGGGTGGTTGCTGTCTACCAACCTATTCCTGGTTATATTTTATCATACATGATTATATTTTATCTAGGTAGTAGGTTGGTAGACAGCAACTGCCCAGAGTGGTACTACCATCCTGCCAAGTGAGTGTAAAATGGAAGCCTGTAATTGTTTTACACGATGGTAGGATTGCTGGTGTCTTTTTATTCTGTCTCATACACATGCAAGATTTCAGGTACATCTTGCTACTTCTACTTACACTTAGATCACACTTCACATACATGTACAAGCATATATACACACACCCCTCTGAGTTTTCTTCTATTTTCTTTCTAGTTCTTGTTCTTGTTTATTTCCTCTTACCTCCATGGGGAAGTAGAACAGAATTCTTCCTCCATAAGCGATGCGTGTTGTAAGAGGCGACTAAAATGACAGGAGCAAGGGGCTAGTAACCTCTTCCCCTGTATATATTGCTAAATGTAAAAGGAGAAACTTTCATTTTTTTTGGGGGGGGGCCACCCTGCCTCGGTGGGATACGGCCGGTGTGTTGAAAGATTATATTTTATTATCATACATGACTATATTTTATCATCATTCCTGGTTATATTTTATTATGCATGATAGCTAAAAATCTGGTCAAATAGAGAAATGGAATTGCTTTAAAATAGGACTCAAAGTTGACCACATCACAGACATATAAACCACTAACTTTGTGCCTGTGTCATCCCCTAAGCCTTCCATCAAATTTCATGTTTTTGGAGTCTTTATCATAAAAAAATACCATATCAGAATAAAAGCTATTTTTATAAAGTGGACACTAGAAGCAATATTAATTTCTGGGGCCTGGACAGCAAATGGGCTAAGTATGTGTAAAATAAATATACAGATGAGTTGAATCCTACAATGAGATAGAGAACAGTTTGATGATATAAATGTATTATTAAACACATACATGCACTCACTCTTATACATCAGTAATTTTTCTTTTTTAACACATCGGCCATTTCCCATCAAAGTAGGGTGGCCCAAGAAAGAAAAATTTTCACCATCATTCATTCCATCACTGTCTTGCCAGAGGTGTGCTTACACTAGTTATAAAACTGCAGCATTAACACTCCTCCTTCAGTAATGTATAGCTTGATAAAGTTAATTCTTTGCTTAAGACAGACTAACAGATATAGGAGTACTTTCCAAGCTAGGCATTTTAAAACATACTATTCTTCAATAAACAGTTCAAGCAGAGTAGAGTAAAATGTAATAATGAATACAAGGCCTGGTTGTGGACCAGACTGCAGGGGCGCTGACCCCCAGAATACCCTCCAGGTATATCGTAGTGGATTCCCAACTTACCCATTCATTCCATAATTTCCATTATCTGGGCAAAGGCCATACATAAATTTCTGGAAGCCCCAAGACAGCAGAGACTTGTGGTAGTCATTCATGTCATAAACATAGTCATCTCCCTGAGAGAAAAATAAACATCTTCAGATAGATAATCTACAGGAATTATGAATTTCTAGTTAAATCTCCTACTCATTATTTTGAAGCCGTGCTTTTTTTTCAGGCCACAGTGCCAAGCACATGAAGCATCTACAGAAAAAAATGGATTTCAGCTTAAATGATTGAATTAGGATTATACCATAATCACAGTAAAAAATAAACAACCATGGGGACCACTGATATAGCATCCAGAAACTTGGAGGCAATCATGTTAGATCCAATAAAGAAAAGTGTAACTCCAAGTTCTTGAATCAAAAGCCCTTCTCCAGCATCAAGGCATTATTTCCACTAAAGGAACAGATGATTGAAGTTTTTCTGTTTAAAGAGCACAAGCGGCCAAAGATTTCTTCCACTACATTACATGTGAGCTTCGGTTGAACCATCTCTGGAAAAACAAATTCTAGCGTATATCATACCCTAATTATAATAATTCCCTAATGTATAAATAAAACTCCATACATCATTGACTGTAAAAATACAAAATACATTCTTCACATTTTTTTTAACTGATACAGGTACTCCTCACTTAACGACCTACCTGTTTAGCAACCGCTCGGACTTACGACCAGCTTTCCAACCAGTCGGTATTGTAACCTGTATGAGAATTTTGGTCGTGGAAACGGCAGTGCGTCTCAGCGCCAAGCATCTCACTTCGCATCACCATTTCTCGATCTCAGTCTAGTTCCCTCAGTCGGTCAGTATTCACTAACTATAGTTAGTCAAATCAGTAAGTCACTCAGTCCAGTCAGTAAGTCAACTATACTAGTCTGTCAGTCAAGTCAATAAGTCAAGCAAGTCAAATCAGTTTATTCAGGTAAACATACACATAAATACAGTTAAAAAAATTATACAAAGCAACATGTAAATACTGCATGTATTGACTGATATTCAAGAATCAACAAACATGTATTTGAGAATCATATGGAACATGTATGTATGGACCAATGATCATAACCTAGATGAACAGGTATTAAACGTGTTGCAGAATTGTCACATCTGCACAAGTGGAGAGATACAACTGTGGCCAAAATGTATATTACTTGCCACCATAATGCTTATATCTTATACATGCAAGCACAGTATTGCACTTTGACTTTTTTGGGTTATCCTAGGTAATTTACATTATGTATGATAACTGTACTTGTGTGTGCCTGTGCCTAAATAAACTTACTTCTTGATTCTGGTACATGAGTAGCTCTGGGACAAAGACAGGCAGACAGAGATACACCTAGCCAGCCAGCTAGCCGAACATGCATTACACACGTTGCAGAATCGTCTTGTGTGAGCAAGTGGAAATGCGAAGTACATGCCACAGTCATGCTTATGCCTTATATCTAGAAGCACAGTATAGCATGTTGGAATTTTTTTTTTTTTATTATTAACACACTGGCCGATTCCCACCAAGGCAGGGTGGCCCAAAAAAGAAAAACTTTCACCATCATTCACTCCATCACTGTCTTGCCAGAAGGGTGTTTTACACTACAGTTTTTAAACTGCAACATTAACACCCCTCCTTCAGAGTGCAGGCACTGTACTTCCCATCTCCAGGACTCAAATCCGGCATGCCGGTTTCCCTGAATCCCTTCATAAATGTTACTTTGCTCACACTCCAACAGCAAGGTCAAGTATTAAAAACCATTTGTCTCCATTCACTACTATCAAACACGCTCACACATGCCTGCTGGAAGTCCAAGCCCCTCGCACACAAAACCTCCTTTACCCCCTCCCTCCAACCTTTCCTAGGCCGACCCCTACCCCGCCTTCCTTCCACCACAGACTGATACACTCTTGAAGTCATTCTGTTTCGCTCCATTCTCTCTACATGTCCGAACCACCTCAACAACCCTTCCTCAGCCCTCTGGACAAGAGTTTTGGTAATCCCGCACCTCCTCCTAACTTCCAAACTACGAATTCTCTGCATTATATTCACACCACACATTGCCCTCAGACATGACATCTCCACTGCCTCCAGCCTTCTCCTCGCTGCAACATTCATCACCCATGCTTCACACCCATATAAGAGTGTTGGTAAAATTATACTCTCATACATTCCCCTCTTTGCCTCCAAGGACAAAGTTCTTTGTCTCCACAGACTCCTAAGTGCACCACTCACCCTTTTCCCCTCATCAATTCTATGATTCACCTCAATTTTCATAAACCCATCTGCTGACACATCCACTCCCAAATATCTGAATACATTCACCTCCTCCATACTCTCTCCCTCCAATCTGATATCCAATCTTTCATCACCTAATCTTTTGTTATCCTCATAACCTTACTCTTTCCTGTATTCACTTTTAATTTTCTTCTTCTGCATACCCTACCAAATTCATCCACCAATCTCTGCAACTTCTCTTCAGAATCTCCCAAGAGCACAGTGTCATCAGCAAAGAGCAACTGTGACAACTCCCACTTTATGTGTGATTCTTTATCTTTTAACTCCACACCTCTTGCCAAGACCCTCGCATTTACTTTTCTTACAACCCCACCTATAAATATATTAAACAACCATGGTGACATCACACATCCTTGTCTAAGGCCTGCTTTTACTGGGAAATAATTTCCCACTTTCCTACATACTCTAACTTGAGCCTCACTACCCTCGTAAAAACTCTTCACTGCTTTCAGTAACCTACCTCCTACACCATACACCTGCTTTTAACATTTCTATCTTTATCCCATCAATCCCAGCTGCCTTACCCCCTTTCATTTTACCTACTGCCTCACGAACTTCCCCCACACTCACAACTGGCTCTTCCTCACTCCTACAAGATGTTATTCCTCCTTGCCCTATACACGAAATCACAGCTTCCCTATCTTCATCAACATTTAACAATTCCTCAAAATATTCCCTCCATCTTCCCAATACCTCTAACTCTCCATTTAATAACTCTCCTCTCCTATTTTTAACTGACAAATCCATTTGTTCTCTAGGCTTCCTTAACTTGTTAATCTCGCTCCAAAACTTTTTCTTATTTTCAACAAAATTTGTTGATAACATCTCACCCACTCTCTCATTTGCTCTCTTTTTACACTGCTTCACCACTCTCTTAACCTCTCTCTTTTTCTCAATATACTCTTCCCTCCTTGCATCACTTCTACTTTGTAAAAACTTCTCATATGCTAACTTTTTCTTCCTTACTACTTTCTTTACATCATCATTCCACCAATCGCTCCTCTTTCCTCCCGCACCCACCTTCCTGTAACCACAAACTTCTGCTGAACACTCCAACACTACATTTTTAAACCTACCCCATACCTCTTCGACCCCATTGCCTATGCTCTCATTAGCCCATCTATACTCCAATATCTAACTGCCTCCTCTTTTGGTTTATAAACGTTCACTTCTCTCTTCCCTGATGCTTCTATTCTCCTTGTATCCCATCTACCTTTTACTCTCAGTGTAGCTACAACTAGAAAGTGATCTGATATATCTGTGGCCCCTCTATAAACATGTACATCCTGAAGTCTACTCAACAGTCTTTTATCTACCAATACACAATCCAACAAACTACTGTCATTTCGCCCTACATATCTTGTATACTTATTTATCCTCTTTTTCTTAAAGTATGTATTACCTATAACTAAACCCCTTTCTATACAAAGTTCAATCAAAGGGCTCCCATTATCATTTACACCTGGCACCCCAAACTTACCTACCACACCCTCTCTAAAAGTTTCTCCTATTTTAGCATTCAGGTCCCCTACCACAATTACTCTCTCACTTGGTTCAAAGGCTCCTATACATTCACTTAACATCTCCCAAAATCTCTCTCTCTCCTCTACATTCCTCTCTTCTCCAGGTGCATACACACTTATTATGACCCACTTTTCGCATCCAACCTTTACTTTAATCCACATAATTCTTGAATTTACACATTCATATTCTCTTTTCTCCTTCCATAACTTATCCTTCAACATTACTGCTACCCCTTCCTTTGCTCTAACTTTCTCAGATACTCCAGATTTAGTCCCATTTATTTCCCCCCACCGAAACTCCCCTACCCCCTTCAGCTTTGTTTCGCTTAGGGCCAGGACATCCAACTTTTCATTCATAACATCAGCAATCATCTGTTTCTTGTCATCTGCACTACATCCACACACATTCAAGCATCCCAGTTTTATAAAGTTTTTCTTCTTCTCTTTTTTAGTAAATGTCTACAGGAGAAGGGGTTACTAGCCCATTGCTCCTGGCATTTTAGTCGCCTCATATGACACGCATGGCTTACGGAGGAAAGATTCTTTTCCACTTCCCCATGGACAATAGAAGAAATAAAGAAGAACAAGAGCTATTTAGAAAAAGGAGAAAAACCTAGATGTATGTATATATATATGCATGTGCGTGTCTGTGAAGTGTGACCAAAGTGTAAATAGGAGTAGCAAGATATCCCTGTTATCTAGCATGTTTATGAGACAGAAAAAGAAACCAGCAATCCTACCATCATGCAAAACAGTTACAGGTTTCTGTTTCACAGTCATCTGGCAGGACGGTAGTACTTCCCTGGGTGGTTGCTGTCTACCAACCTACTATTATTATATTATTATTATTGTGTATAAAACGTTAATATAGAAATTTTGCTTAATCCATCAATGATTTTTTTTCAAAATTATATAATAAACATGCTACATAACATATAAACTAACAAATATGAGATGTTTTTCTGGTCGGCTTGACAGTGAACAGGAACCAATCGTGTCGGGGCTGGTAACAACAACAACGTTTGTTTACATAACTCGTGAACATTCTACATTCTCATTCTCTCTCTCATTTATTCATTTAATCTTGTTTACTCACCTCTCACTCTACATTAAAACTACAGATATTTTAAGGTAAGTAATGAGTGGACACGATTATTATATTATAGCTTAATAATAATAATATTAATATTAGTACATTTGTATTATTGTAATAATAATGATTATTAATATTATTATTAATTTAGGGCACTGGAGCACAGATCCA